ACCTGGTGATCAGCCAGAAGGTGTTACCGTGGGTTGTGATGAAAAATCAGACCACCTCTAGGATAGGCTCAGAACCCTTCTGCCCTCGTGGACAGCTCGAGTCCCCCCTTACTGACTATAGAATGGGTGTACACGTGAACTCTCCTCACCCTGCTGACCTTTATCCTGATTGGCTCCTGTGCCTTATATTAGCTGTGTGTGCTTCCTCAATAAATGAGCTCCAGCCTTGACTGGTCTCCCTGATGTCTCTGATTGTCCTCCAGCGAGGGAGGGCTGGGTGCGGGCAGTCAGTTGGCCCTCTCCTTTCTTGGCTCGTCCTGGCTGGGGCATGTTCTCCCTATTTCTCCTACAGGTCGGGAGGGAACGAGGACTAAAATCCCTGACATCTGGCACCCGTGTAGGGACAGGAAGAAGTCGGTTCACCAAAAGTGAAAGTATCTGCTAGCCAAGCCAAGCAAGTTATGAGGTAAGGGTCTCCCTGAAGAGATGGGGCAATCTCATACTAAGCATGATGCTCCGGCTCTTAAAGCGCTGAGATTCATGCTCAAAAGCCAAGGTTTAGAGATCTCTGATGCCCAGGCCAAAAAGGCCTGGGAAACCTTGACACTCCCTGAGCCCTGGTTGGTGGCTGCCAATCTTTTTGATTGGGCCACCTGGGACCACGCAGAACAATTGGTTAGGAAGAGGGAGATTAACCTGGAAGAGGACCCCCCTCTGGAGGTCTACCCAACCCTATCTGCCCTCAAGGCCTGTTTCTCCCCTGGATCCTCAGAATGAACATCTAGGGGAGGCAAAGACCCTTTTAAGACACCTAGTCCTCCTACCACTACCTCAAAGATCGACCCGGCTTGGGAAACCCTTGTTGAGGAGCGACTTGGGTCATGGTGAGTCCCTCTCGCTGCCCAGGAGGAGAAAGGCTTAAAGCCTCACTCTGACAATGGCCTCCTAGACCTTTTTGATCCTTGGCCTGGTCCTCTGAGTTCCGCACCAAGTGCCCCTGTCCCAAAACACATGGTAGACAGTCGGGATAGGGAGCGGCCTCCACCATATTGTCACCCCTCCCACCGTGGAAATTCTCCACCATCTTGTGCAAACCCAGAAAAGCCAGTTAAGCTGCCATCTTGTAAGACCAGCAATGACTTATCCCCATCGTGTGTGACTTTCCCTCTAAATGCTTACCCTGGGGGCAATAGACCGGCCTTATGGTATCCCTGGAAGGCCCAAAATTTTAAAGAACCCAAAAAGGCCATCTCCGAGGATGGACCTAATTCGCCCTGGGCCGAAACCATCCTCCAGGGTCTGGCCCACCAACAGTGTACCAAGACTGTTAAAACTTAACCAAGGCTGTGCTTCCTGGTCCCCTGTACCTGAAATGGTGTGCTTTTTTAAATGAGGAGTGCCATGCTCAGGCTGAGAGGAATCAGGCGGTTAATCCCCTGGTTCCTGTAACTTATGGGATGCTGTTGGGGTCCAGTAATCAATTTTCCACAGGCCTTCAGCAGGCTGCTATCCCTGCCCCCTACCAGGAGCAGGTATGGGCTTTAGGACTGGCGGCACGGAAGAAGTTGGAGGAAGGCCCCTCAGAGCCCCCGGTAGCAGGAATTACTCAGAGGGCTACCAAGGATCTTGCCACCTTCATCAAGAGGGTGGAAAAGAGTCTCCAAAGGAAATTCCCCCCAGGGTCCCTTCGGAACCAGTTTGTCAAAATGCTGGTCTGGGAGGGGATGACCACAGACCACAAACTAGCCTGTGCAGGGATGAAGGACAGATCTATGGGGAGATGGATAGTGGCCACTAAGGATGTTGGTACTCAGGCCCACCAATCACAGTCGTTGGTCGTGGTCTTGCAGGCCCAAACAGCTTCACTTGCTGAGGCCCTTACTACCAACCTCGCCTCTTCCAGTGGCACTGGGAAAGGGGTTTTTTATGGGTGTGGTCAACAGGGCCACTTCAAGAGAGAGTGCCCTACAGGCCGAATAAGACCTGGTGCCCCGCAGGGACTTCCCTCAGGCCCGGATGAGGGGCAAACTCCACCTAAGATGCCTTGCCTCCGGTGTAGAAAGGGATTCCATTGGCAGAGGGATTGTAAGTCCAAATTTGATATTGAGAGGAAGCCTTTAAACTAATAATGGGGCACCCTCCAGCCCCATCCCCCAAAGGAGGTGCCCTGCCTAGTGACCCACCTAGGGCCCACTGGACAGTCCCAATAATCCCGGGAATTAGGCCAAAAATGGATATCTTCATAGCAGGGATAAAGTTCCGCTGCTTGATTGACACTGGAGCGGATTGGACAGTATTAAGGAAAGAGGAGGTTCCCCCACTATGGAAGCTGATTCCCAGACCGCAGATATTGGGGGTGGGGGGGGTGATACAAGGTCTGAAGAAACCAAGGATTGGCTTACTTGGAAGGATGTAGATGGTAGTCAGTGAGAGGTATGCCCTCTGGTGGCATCTGGCCTGACAGGATATTTGGGGGGAAGCTGAGGTGTTCATCACCACAGATCACAAAGGAATATATGACAATATCCTAGAGGAAGAGGAGTATCAGCAACAGTTTGTCCTATCAGGTCCCCTTAGCAATTACCAGGGGGGGATCCACTTTTTGAGACATCAAGGCCGAACACTCCTGCACCCCGTGTGAGGCCTCACCCCCAATCCTAGAGGCCACTGTTCCTACCGTCCCCACCATTCAATGGCTTCTGGGCCCTCCAGTGTGGGTGGAACAGTGACCGCTTCCCCTAGATAAACTACAAAAGTTAAAAGAGATAATATCAGAACTACTGACCCTAGGGCATAGTAGGCCCTCCCTGAGCCCTTGGAATAGTCCTGTATTTGTCATACAAAAGGCCACACAGGGAAATGGAGAATGTTACAGGACCTAAGAAAGATTAATGAGCAGATGATTCCCGTTGGTACCCCCTTGCAAGGGCTACCCTGGATCCCCTGCATCCCTCGGGATTTGACTCTCATTGTGATTGATATCAAGGATTGCTTCTTTTCTATTCCCCTTCATCCCCAGGACTGTGAGAAGTTTGCCTTCTCCATTCCCTCTGTTAACTTCCAGGGGCCAGACCAAAGATATGAGTGGGTGGTGTTACCCCAGGGCATGGATAACAGTCCAGCTTTTTGTCAACATTATGTTTCACAAGTCCTGCAACCCCTTCGGTAGCAATCGGACATAATTCTATATGTTTACATGGATGACATCATTATTGGGGCAGTGGACGCCAAAGCGTTAGGCTCCACCTATAAGGAACTCCAGACTCTCTTACAGAAGGGAGGATTACATATATCTAATGGAAAGGTCCAGACCTTACCCCCTTTTAAAACTCTAGGAGCCAAACTTAGGTTGGACTCTGTCTGTCCCCTTAAGCCTCAATTACTTTTCCAGTTTCCTATACCTTGGTGGAATTACAAAAACTGTTGGGCGAACTCAACTGGATAAGGCCTTGGCTTCACCTGCCTACACAAGACCTGCTTCCGCTTTTTGACTCTTTAAGAGATAAAGTCCCCACAGATGTCATCACAATGACTCCATCACATCAATTGATATTCCAAAAGATTCAGTCAGCCTTAAATGCTGCCCAGTTGGCTCGCTATAGGCCCCAATGCCCCGTCTTTTGATCCTCCCCAGCTCAGAGCTTTCTTCGGCCGCCATTACCCAGTTAGGCAAGCCTCTTCAATGGATACATGTGTCTGTGGGAGGGGCCCCAAGGGTCTATTCCCAACTTGACCAGTTGGCTGACCTGATAGTTAAGGGTACGGATATTTCCCTGAGACATTATGGGCAGGATCCTGATGTGCTAATAATCCCCTACCAATTGTCGGACTTTTAGTGGGTCAGAAGAAATCATAGTCGGGTACCCAATGCCTTGGAGGGTTTCATGGGAAAGGTGGATTGTCATTATGGTACTTTGAGATGCGTGACATCATTCTCGAGGTTACAGTGGACCCCCCTATACTTTTTTTCACCAGACTCCTCACTAAAGCAGTAAATGTCTTTACTGATGGGGGAAAAGCGGGATCTGCCTTTTCCACCAGACCCCTCACTAAAGCAGTAAATGTCTTTACTGATGGGGGGAAAGCAGAATCTGCTGCAGTGGTGTACTCCGCCTCTTCCCCTGCCAATGAAGGGGAAAATACCCACTATTTTGAGCCAGTTACGGGATCTGCACAATTTAAGGAACTATATGCAGTTGCCCTGCCTTAACCCATGTCCATGGACCAATGAACTTATTTTCTGACAGCCTATATGTAGTCAACTTGTTACCAACTCTAGTGTCAGTGTATATTAAGTTGGACAAAAACCCAGTTGATTCAAGTCCGATCCTTCTGCAGCATCTCAGGGGACATCAGGAGTTACCTGGAATCTTGACATGGGGGAACCAAATGGCTAATCTATTGACTACCAAAGGGACTAACATAGCTACTGCTCAGTCTCAACAGAACCTTCAGATGGCTCAAGGACTTCATGAACTTACTCACTTAAACTGGAGAGAGTTACATCAGAGATTCCCCCTGATTCCCATAAAAGATTTTAAAAAGATCATAAGGACATATAAATCATATATGCCATTTTTACAGGTCTTACCACTTAAATCCCACTGGGGTCAACCCCAGGGGCCTCAGACCTAATGTCATCTGGCAAACTTATGTGACCCACTATGCACCTTTTGGAAAATTAAAAAATATATATGTCTATAGATACTTATTTACATACTTGTTGAGCAACTGCTCATTCGGGCAAAAAAGCTCAACACGCTGAAAGCCATTTCCTACAATGTTTTGCCATTTTGGGATTACCCTTACAATGGGCCGCACTTTGTGAGCGAATCATTACAAGAATTCTTCCAAACTTGGAATATTAAACACACCTCTGGAATACCATACAATCCAAAAGGTCAAGCTATAATTGAGAGGCATAATAAGACCTTAAAGGACCAACTAATAAAACAAAAAGGGGGAAAACAACCCCCATGACCAATTAAGGACAGCCATGCTTACATTAAATATTTTATTTGCTAAGATTTGCCCTGTGACATAATATGTGGTCTATTTTTGAGAAAGATCCATGTGCTGCTGAGTAAAAAAGTGTATCCGCTTGATGTTGGGTGGTATATTCTATATATGTCAATTAACTCTAAGTTATTAATTGTATTACGAGCTCTATAGTTTCTTTATTCAACTTTTGTTTGGAAGATCTGTCCAGTGGTGAGAGAGGTTAAAATCTCCCATGATTATAGTGTTGTGGTCTATTTGACTCTTGAACTTGAGAAGAGTTTTTTTGATGAACGTAGCTGCACCATTGTTTGGGGCATATATATTAATGATTGTTAAGTCTCATTGGTGTATGATTCCCTTGAGCAGTATGTAGTGTCCTCCTTTATCCCTGTTGATTAACTTTGGCTTGAAGTCTATTTTATTTGATATGAGTATGGACACCACTGCTTGCTTCCGAGGTCCAGGTGAATGGTATGATTTTTCCCAACCTTTCATCTTCAGTCTGTGTATGTCTTTTCCTATCAGATGAGTCTCCTGTAGGCAGTATATTGTTGGATCTTTTTGTTTAATCCAGTCTATTAGCCTATGTCTTTTTATTGGTGCGTTTAAGCCATTAACATTTAGGGTTGCTATTGAGATATGGTTTGTCTTCCAGCCATATTTGTTTATGTTACTTAACATGATTTGTTTTTCCTCTTTGATTAGTTTTTCCTTTACTACCTCCCGCTGTTGGTTTTCATTGTTATTTTTCATTTCCTCTTCCTGTAATGTTTTGCCAAGGATGTTTTGAAACGCTGGTTTTCTAGCTGCAAATTCTTTTAACTTTTGTTTATCACGGCGGAAGATTTGTATTTCATCTTCAATCCTGAAGCTTAATTTCACTGGATACATGATTCTTGGTTGGAACCCATTTTCTTTCAGCATTTGAAATATGTTGTTCCAGGATCTTCTAGCTTTCAGAGTCTGGGTTGAAAGATCAGCTGTTATCCTGATTGGTTTTGAAAGAACGATCAAGGCTTGCCATTGGAGAAAATGCCCGTTTATTGAGGAACAGCTCTGCATATTTATAGAGCCAGGAGTGGTTTGACAGTTATGACAGTTTAATGGTTGAAGGGTTTGACAGTGCTTTTTGATTGGTGGGTAAGGATCATGTGAGCCAGCAGGGCTAGTCTGATTGGTGGGTAAGGGTCATGTGAGCCAGCAGGGCTCACCATTGGACAGCAGGATCATGTGAGCCAGCAGGGCTCACCATTGGACGGCAGGATCATGTGAGCCAGCAGGGCTAGTCTGATTGGTGGGTAAGGATCACGTGAGCCAGCAGGGCTCACCATTGGACGGCTCTTCTTGGGGGATGGGGAAGTTAGTCTTTGGAGCCGGGGCAACTTCCAACAGGTTTACCCCTAAATGTAATCTGCTTCCTTTCTCTTGTGGCTTTTAAGATTCTCTCATCTAATGAAGATGTTGGGCATCTTCATTATAATGTGTCTTGGTGTGAATCTCTTTGTGATTTTGCACATTCGGCATCCTGTAGGCTTCTAGGATTTGGATTTGTTTCATTCTTCAAGTTTGGGAAGTTTTCTAGTATTATTTCATTGAATAGATTGCTCATTCCTTTGGTTTGGACCTCTATATCCTCCTGTATCGCATCAACTCTTAAGTTTGGTCTCTTTATGTTATCCCATATTTCTTGGATGTTCTGCTCATGGTTTATTAACATTCTCACTAAGCTGTCTATATTCTTTTCAAGTTGAAATACTTTGTCTTCGTTGTCTGATGTTCTATCTTCTAAGTGTTCTACTCTGCTGGTAATACTCTCATTTGAGTTTTTAATTTGGTTTATTGTTTCCTTCATTTCCAGGATTTCTGTTTTGTTTTGTTTTTTTTTTTAATAACCTCTATCTCCCTGTAGAGTTGATCTTTTGCTTCTTGGATTTATTTATGTAATTCATTGTCAAAGTGATCTTTCATTGTCTGATTTTGCTGTCTAAATGTCTTCCTTGAGACTCCAGATCATCTGAGGCATGTATATCCTGAACTCTTTATCTAACATTCCATCTGCTGCAGATATTACCTCTTCCAATGTTGAATTGACCTGCATTGTTTGTGGTCCTTTCTTTCCTTGTCTTTTCATACTGCTCATGTTCTTTCCAGCTTTGTGAAACTGTTGTGTTAATTATTTTCCACTTATATATTTATATTGCTCTTGTATAGCTCCAAAAACTCTTTTTGTGTAGAAAGACAATGTTAACAGTTCCCAATATCAATAGTACATCATCTAAGCACAAATTTTCATTATTAATACATTTATAGTTAGACTCTAAGTCTACAGATATTGGCTTCAATTATTATTTAAAAATATAGTCATTAGTTTCATAAAAGGCATACCATTTATGGTGGCATATAAAAACTGAATTTCAGACGTAGGGTGTTATGCTTAGGAGGAAAGGAGTGAGGGTATGAGGTTAATCTAACTTAGCAACTTTGGAGCACTCTAACCAATAGACTGGTAATTTATGGAAGAATGTATAGATTCAACCTCCTATCTGTACTTAGAAAGTTACCCTACATATAGATAGTAAAAGTTAGGGGGTTGAAAGTGGGATAGAGGGAGTAAGAATGAAGAAAAAAATAGCAAGGAAGAAAAGAGAAAAAAGAGAGGGAAAAAGAAAATAAGAAAAAAAGGGGGGAGGTGGGGCATATGCAATTCCTCTATATTATTCTGGTGATTCAGTTATTAAAGTCCTATTTCATGCACAGTTCTTTCACATATGTTGAGGTTGTGAAAGAGAGAGAAGTTAACAAAAAAAAAAAAAAAGTCTCTCAGAACTCTGTTTTCCTTTCTTCCAGTAGGTAGCATTGTCTATTCCTAGCTTGAGCTTCTGTGTTCAGGATGGTGGATGTAGCCAGTGTGAAAGGATATGAGCTTCCACCTGTAGCCTCCCTACTCTAGTCTCTGAGATGGAAACCAGGTGCCTGTACAGTTGTTGTTTTGCGTTGATAGCTACACCCCCCAAAAGCTTGTGGGAAAATTTCTGAGTTATTGCAGCTAAGGGTAGGGGAGTTGGAAACCAGGTACCTGGATCAGCCGCATAACCATGCTGGTAGCCATGCCCCAGGTTGATGGGTTTTAAGGGTTGATGGGCTTCCCCCGGTCTGGCGCGCAGGGCCGGGCCAGGCTTCCTCCTCCGGTTTGGTGTGGGGGCCGGGGGCGGGCTTCCTCCTCCAGTCTACCTTAAATATTTTAATTTTTTGCAAAGACCAACCTCTAACTGCTTTCCAGAGACATTGGTCTAATCAGACACCTTATTTGAAAGTAGAGGTCCGATGGAGGGACCCCCTTACTGGATCATGGTGCGGTCCTGATCCCCTCATTAGTGCAGGGAGGGGATTTGGGTGTGTATTCCCGATTGGGGAGCCAAGTCCAATTTGGGTACCCACTAGAGATCTAAAATACTGTTCACCAGAACAAAAATGATTACCCAAGAGCACCCCCTCTTGAGGTATGATTATTTTCTCATTTGTAATGAAAAGACCATTCTGGATGCTTTGCCTGGTTGTGATGGGACTCCTCATTGTCTCCCTCATGGCATTCATGTTTGTTGGGGGAGACGCGCTTTGGGGAGGCACACTTTGATGCCGTACTTCATATCCTTGGCTCCCCCTGCAAGCAGTGTGTCACTAAGGCCCTTCTCAATAGTCGATGCTACGGGACCAAATATGATTGAGGTAATGGCTTATGGGGGGCATATGTAATCCACGATCTTGAAGTCTTTGAAGCTGGCTCAGGTCACCTCGCTGCTCTTGGCTACAGCATCTGCTGGCCCAAACAATTGGTTCTTCCTTCTAACCCCAAGGCCCCCCCACATGCCCGGGCACAACATTCGAGTCAGGCGTGGTCCACACTGCTTGTTATAAATCAGCATCTAAATGTACTAACAAGGGTGTAACTTACTGAATGGGCCACACTGAGGAGTCCCATTCAGGTATCAGTGTCCTGGAAGCGGTGGTAAGCCAATTTGTTGGTCCTTATATGCCCCCCCTGGGAAAGAATGGACCTTTAAAAGCTACTGCCATTCCCGTTTGGTGGAATATAACCTCACCTCTTACTAGTAGATGCCCTATACTCCCACCCCACTCAGAAGTTTTTTGCCCTTGGTGACCATGCCTAACGTCACCTGTCTCACTAGAAATGGCACTCAAGATGTGGGGACGTTGAATCCCTTCTGGTGTGGAGGCAATAGGTTTTTTGATCAGTAGGTGGTATGCTCTGTCCTCCTAATGGTACTGCCTTCTTCTGTGGGGATATGGCGTACAGTGTCCTACCGGGTAATTGGATTGATCTGCATTGTGGTCCTCCTCCTCCCTAACATTGGGGTCCTCCCTAATAACCAGTCCCTGCCCATACCTGCTGTTGATTATTCCCTTTCCAGGCCCCGAAGAGTCATTCATGCTGTTCCTTTGCTGTTGGGTCTGGGGGTGGCCACGGGATAGGAACTGGTCTTGCTGGCCTTGGTACTTCTTTACAGATGTAAAATAAGCTTTCTCAGCAGATGAAAGATGATATGCACCATGTTGCCGGCACTATCTTGGACCTGCAATCTCAATTCCTTGGCTGCAATAGTCCTCCAAAACCGTTGTGGCCTGAACCTGCTTACCGCCAAAGAGGGAGGATTATGCCTGGTCCTACAGGAGGAGCACTGCTTCTATGCAAATCGCTCTGGTATTGTTCAAGATAAGATTAAAAGGTTACAGGAGGACCTTGAAAACCGTCAGAATGAGCTGCAATCAAGCCTTCTATGGACTGGGCTAAATGGGTGGCTCCCTTACCTTCTCCCCTTGGTAGGCCCCTTGGTTACTATAATTCTTGTATTTACATTTGGACCTTGTATAAACAACAGGCTCCTCCAGTTTCTCAAGGATCGAGCCAAAGCTGTTCAATTGATGGTGGTCCGGCAGCGATATGCTGTCTTACAAGATACTGACTAGGAACCCTATGAGGTTGGCCATGGCCCCTACCAGAACGTGCAGGTGTAAGTCAGAGGCAAGAGGGTTTTTCTTCATAGGCCTAAGTCATCTCCTTTCCTTTCCTTGAGGTTTCCCATTGGGTCTGCTGACCCTGCGGTGAACTGCCTGAAGAGCCAGAGTGGTAGTCAATGACGGGTAAGATCCCCAGAGGGGGACAACCTAAGACAGGCACACTCTCGAGTAAAGCAGACACCCGCCAATAAAACAAAAAGGGGGAGATGTAGGGCACGGGGAGATGTAGGGCATGTCACATCAAAGAAATAGAAATCTATGATGGAGAAAAGGGAATCTAACTTGCAGACTGATGCTCACTTCCTGGTCTTGGGGCTGCACATGGCTAAGATGGCACCTGGTGATCAGCCAGAAGGCTTTACCGTGGGTTGTGATGAAAAATCGGACCACTTCTAGGATAGGCTCAGAACCCTTCTGCCCTCGTGGACAGCTCATGTCTCCCCTTACTGCCTGTAGAATGGGTGTACACTTGAACTCTCCTCACCCTGCTGATCTTTATCCTGATTGGTTCCTGTGCCTTATATTAGCTGTGTGTGCTTCCTCAATAAATGAGCTCCAGCCTTGACTGGTCTCCCTGATGTGTTTGATTGTCCTCCAGCAAGGGAGGGCTGGGTGCAGGAGGTCAGTCAGCCGTCTCCTTTCTTGGCTTGTCCTGGCTGGGGTGTGTTCTCCCTATCTCTCCTGCAGGTCAGGAGGGAACAAGGACTAAAAACCCCAACACCTTACATGTTCATTAAGACCTGAAATAGGAGTGAAGATATTTCCAAATTCCTTACATTCATAGTTTTCTTTTTTCCCCAAATCTCTGAAGTAAACAGGGACACCATAAAGCTTTCCCACATTTCTTATATTGACAGTTTCTATTCCACATGCCTTCATTCATGATTGTGAAAGGAACTGGGAGAACTGAAGGCTTTCCCACACTCCTTACATTCATACGGTTTCTCTCCACTGTGAATTCTTTTATGTAACTGAAATGAATTTGAATATCTGAAGGTTTTCCCACACTGCTCACATTCATAAGGTTTTTCTCCAGTGTGGATTCTCATGTGAAGGGTAACACATATGGGAAACTTAAAGGCTTTCCCACATTGTAGACATATGTATGGTTTTTTGACTACTGTGAGTCCGCATGTGATTATTAAGACTGGAGGAATGTGTAAATACTTTCCCACACTCCTTGCATTCAAAGGGCTTCTCTCCTGTATGAATCCTCAGATGTCCACTAAGATTTGAGGAAACAGCAAATGCTTTCCCACATTTGAAACATACAAAGGGCTTCTCTCCAGTGTGGGTTCTTATGTCACTGAGGCGGGAGGATCTAGCAAAGGCTTTCCCACAATCTTTGCACTCATATGGCTTCTCTCCAGTGTGAGCTGGTAAATGTTTCCTAAGGCCAGAATGCCCCGTGAAGGCTTTGCCACAGTCTTTACATTTGAAGGGTTTTGTTCCAGTGTGAATTTGAAGGTGATTATGAAGGCATGAGGAATTTCTGAAGGATTTTCCACATACCATACGTTCAAAAGGTTTCTCTGCAGTGTGGTTTTTTACATGTTCAGTGAGGTATGAAGACATTTTTAAAACAATCCCATGTTTCTTTTGTTCACAGGGTTTGTATTCAATGTGAATTTTAACATGTTGACTTAAGCAAGAAGAAACAGTGAAAGCTTTCCCACATTCTGTACATGTATAAGGTTTATCTCCAGTGTGAGTTTTTCTATGCTGAGTAAGCTGACAAGACCTAGTAAAGGCTTTCCCACATTCCTTACATTCATAGGGGTTATCTCCACTTTGGGTTCCCATGTGAATATTTAGGTATGCAGAATATCTAAAGTCTTTTCCACATTCCTTACACTTGTAGGGTTTTTCAGCACTGTGTGTCTGTATACACACAGCAAGGCTAGTGGAGTGAATGAAATCCATCCTGTATTCCTTCAGTTCAAGGAGTTTGTATCCATTATGAGTTCTTCTATGGGCCTGAAGGTGTAGTGGATCAACAAAAGCTTTCCCACCATCATTGCACTCAAAGGGTTTATCTTGAGTGCATATTTTCTGGTAAACAGCTTTTGGAGGCAAGCTGAAAGTTTGCCTACAATGATTCAAAAAAAAGTTTCTTTTCAGGAGAGGTTCTCTTGTGCAAAGGAAAGAAGTCTATTCTATGTTGATCACAATCAGAAGTGGTCCCTGTATTTTGCATTCTCATGTGTGATGTAAGGCAAGTACGTCCACTGATAAATTCTCCACATGGCTTACAGTCACAGAGCTCCCCTCCATTGTGCCTTCTTGCCTGTTCATAAAGGGATGAATAATGGTTAAAGTATTTTTCAGACTCATTAATAGATTACATGCACCTGAAAACTGAAAATTGTGATGATCTACATTTCTTCAATTTTCATTATTTGCATACAGTTTCTGCTTCTCTCTCTCTCTCTCTCTCTCTCTCTCTCTCTCTCTCTCTCTCTCTCTCTCTCTCTCTCTTTTTCTTTTTTAAGAGACAGATTCTATATTGTACAGGCTGGCTTTTAATGTTGGGTTCAAGTGACCTTCTGCCTGAGCTTCCTGAGTAGCTGGAACTATAAGTGAACACCACTTCTGGCTTATTGATTTATTTTTATTTTCTTTTTCCTCTCCACCTCCCCATGGTATTGGGAATTAAACCTGTGCTCTACCACTGAGCTATATTCCCAACCCTTCTAATTCTTTGAGACAGAATCTTACTAAATTTCCAAGGCTGACCTCAAACTTGTGATCCTCCTTCCTACTCTCTTGCTGGGATTACTTTGCCAGAATACTCTGCCATCTATTCTAAACTTGAAAAGACCTCTACAGTTTAGTGACAACCTTTTAAAAACTATCTAGTTACATATCTGGAAATGTGTACTTGTGGGAACTTGGGAGCAACAAGTTTCATGTTAGGTTTGGGGCACCCCCAAATTCATATTCCTATTTTGCCTCTAGAGCCATTGCTCCTTCTTAGGTCAATGCTACTTCTCTCAAATCTCTCTTGTTCTGATTTTCTATAATGGAATTCCCAATCTTCTTTAAATATAGAAAATTAGAAATACCCCCTTGTTAGTCTTACCCTAAGTATCTCACTGGAGATCTGTTCCCTCAAAAAATTCTGCTGAAGTGAAGCCCCTTTGATTTTAAGTCCCATTTTCCATTCTAAAGTAAGAGAAAAAGAAATATAAGGGTCTGGAGACAGAAATGATAGATAGGAGGTGAAAATGGTAGAGATCATTTGCACTTATTTCCAAATTAAACATAATAAAGCAAAAAAAAAAGATTTCACAATTTTCACTATGTCAAAAATCTGGCAAAGATAAGGACATGGCATCAAAATTTTATATGATTTATTACCAATTGATCCTATGAAAGTTAAAATTGGTGGTGAACACAAAGAACATTTATCTTGGAAGGGGACAAACATAAAGAAGTATACATCAAAACAATGAAGAAATGCAACAGGTTATATTGTGAGATTACAGAAAAGTCTAAGTTGGCAGAGAGTAAAAGAGTATAGAAGGTTGAAGATTTCCTAACTTCTGATAAAAATGATCTGATGCTTCTGAGATCAAGTGCATCTTTTTTTTTTTAAAGAGAGAGGGAGAGAGGGAGGGAGGGAGGGAGAGGGGGGGAGAGAGAGAGAGAGAGAGAGAGGGAGAATTTTAATATTTATTTATTTATTTTAGTTTTCGGCGGACACAACATCTTTGTTTGTATGTGGTGCTGAGGATCGAACCCGGACCGCATGCATGCCAGGCGAGCGTGCTACCGCTTGAGCCACATCCCCAGCCCTCAAGTGCATCTTTAAAAGTTTCTTCTTTATACTTATAGTGAATTTACTGACCAGGAGTATTGTCCATGAACACTTACCTTGGAGAACCCCTCCTTTCACTATCTTTGACTCTTCCTGCTCCAACCAAGAGATCAGGCTGGGTTTGAGGAGCTGACATTCTGTACCTAGGGAAAGACATATTCATGGAAAAAGCTAATGGAAGAGATGATAAACCTTCTCATGATTCAGGAACCACAGCTCTAATGAAAGCAGTGAAATTATTTCAAAAAGTTTAAAAATACAAGTATCTTCTCTGCCTGTGTCCCATAAAAATTAGTTGTTTCTGACCCCTAAAATTCCAAATTCAGGCTTATGTTCACATTTACAAAGCACTAAGACCTTCTTTTTTTTTTTTTTAATCCAAATAGGAAATAGAGTGAAACAGTGATCTTCATTCTCACAGGGAATGAAAATCACACCTGATTGGTTTTGGTTTTTTTTGTTTTGTTTTGTTTTGTTTTTGTTGTTGTTGTTTTGTTTTTTGTTTTTGTTTTTTGTTTTTGTTTTTGTTTTTTTTGCAGTAGTAGGGATGGAACTCAGGGCCTTGTGCATGCTAGGCTGAGCCACACTCCCAGGTAGTACGCCTGTGATCCTTAAACCTTACAGCGTGTAAGAGTCACCTGGAGAATTTCTTGGACACATATGACAGGGCCCTAACTGTGTTTCTGAGTATATGAAAGGTGGAAACTGAGGTAATGTATGTTAGGCCACATTTTGAGAACCACCACACAGATTAAAAGCTATTATGATAAAGGCTGTGTCTCTATTATTTCCTACTATATTCAGAGTTGACTTCATTGATACTGCAACACAGTAAGTACATACAAAATATATTTTCTAGGAGGCTACACAGAATTATGGTAGTCCTACCTACTATGGTCAGGTTCTCATAGTTCTCCAGCATCACGTCTTTGTACAGGTTTCTCTGAGTTGGGTCCAGTAAAATCCACTCCTCCTGGGTGAAGTGCACAGCCACATCATCAAAGGTCACCAAGTCCTAAACCATCACACACATGCTGGTTTGAGCCAAGTAACACATCCACCAATGGCCACTGGAAAATGAGGAAATGAGACCAAAGCCTAAAAAGAGTTCTGAGGTCTCTCACTGTCTACCCCAGGATTCAATGATGCTAGGAATTCTTCTCTCTATGCACACTCACTCTCTGTCCATCTCCTCTAGTTATATGGCTTGAATGGCACTTCTTATATGTGATCTTCTCTCAACACAAGAGTAGGTGCTCATCTTATTTCCCTCTACTGTAGCACACTCTTGAGTACCGTGTAAATATTAGATAAACAACACTTTCATCTCGCTTATCATTGTCAGAGCACTCAGCAAAATATGAAACATGTAGTCAGCACCATAAGGGAACATTAATTAGTAACACATGAAATACTAGTCTTCCTAGTATTTCATGTGATTTCATGAAATACTAGGGTGATTTCATGCCAATAAATGGCTCTACTCCCTGGGGAAATTCAACTAGGGACTTAAGTCATTGATCTATGCTTTATTTGCTTTAAGAAGTTCTGGAAGTCAGGCATGGTGGTATATACCTGTGGTCTCAATTACTCAGGAGGCTGAAATGGAAGAATTGCTCAAGCCCAGATGCTTGAGATCAGCTTAGACAACATGTCACACAAAAAAAATTCCAGAGGGAGAAACACCTCTCAGAACCCACCTCAAAAAATAAGAAGTTCTGAAGATGATTATGAGTAGAAGAAAACATGTCACCTTGTTAGCCGCATGTTCAAGATTTTGTACAAGGATACATGCTCTGCATACCTGATCACAGTTTGGCAGGAAGACAGTTATCTTCCTTTCTGCTTCTGTCTTTTCTTCATGAAGGCAAACTGGATCCCTCTACAAAAGACCTCAGGAAAAAGAAATAAGGTATGTGTTGTGGTTTGCATATGAGGTATCCCCTGAGAGGCTCATGTGTTAGGTAATTGTGGCAATGTTCAGGGGTGAAATTATCAGATTATGTGAGCTCTAACCTCATCCATGGATTAATTCATTTGATGGATTAGTCCATTTAATGGATTAATAATTTAAATAAACAATTAGGTATGGCTGTAAGCAGGTGGAGCATGGACAGAGGAAATAGGTCTCTTGAAGGTGAGGGGCATGCCCTTGGGGATTACAGCTTGTCCCTAGCTCCCTGCACACTCTCTGCTTCCTGGTTGCCATGAGCTAAGCCACTTTCTCCACCACACTCTTTGACCATGGAGTTCTGCCATATCTTGCACCCACAGCAATGCAGTCAGCCAGCCAACCATGGATTAACTCTGAAACCGTGAGCCCAAAATAAACTTTTCTTCCTCTAAATTGTTCCTGCTAGGTATTTTGATTATAGCAATGAAAAGCTAACACTGCATGAGAACTCAGAGCTGCCCATAATTCCCACAATTTACATGTCTAGAAGTCATTCCATCCTAGTTTGAAATTTCCACGTAACCCTGCACACTTGACATTAAGTACACACTACTCCTGTATGAGGCCAGCAGTCTGCCTCACATAGAGCCAGAAAAGGAGACCATATGCCATGCTGCCCAAACAGGAAAAGGATAGTAGTCTCATTATACATAAGGAAAGCTATAGCCTTGAGAGATTGACTATTTGCCCATAGCAATAAAACTCATGAAAGAGTGGGAGGAGGGGAGCGAGGGGGGGAAGTGCCGGGGAGTGATACTGGCCAAACTGTATTGTTATATTGTGTGCATGCACTAAGATGTAAGAACAAATCCCACCATTATGTACAACTATAATGTACCAATTAAAAAAAAATCATGGGACTGGGGCAGTAGAGCCCTTGCCTAGCATGTGCAAGGCCCTGGGTTCAATCCTCAGCACCACATAAAAATAAATAAATAAAAGAAAGGTATTGTGTCCAATTACAACTGAAAAATAAATATTTTTTTTAAATCATGAAGAAGCTTCTACAGCATTTCTTCCCAGAATATATACACCAGGGGGGTTGACTGAAAACATAGGATTCCCTGGTCCACTACATTTCCTGAGAGAGCACTGGACTCCATACAGGGAGAACCTGAAGGAGAGTCTCTGAACAAGATCATCAGTAGGACTTACCATGGGACAAATCAATGGCTGCCATCTTGTGACACTGGTGGTGTTATGTGCCTGAATGATTCTTTCCTTGATTCAGAGAACACTGCAGGACAGCTATGAAGCTACACCAACAGTGGCCATCTTCACTCCTCTTTATTCAGGGTTAACTTAGTCCTGTTCACATCATCATCAATCAACAAATATTAATTATTAATAATTAAACATTAGCTCTCTTTGCAGATGGCATATGTGAAAGACTGAAAAAAATTATATTACAATAGTATTAGTAACATCAATTGCTATTTACTAAAGACTAGACCTCAGAAGTTATAATAGCAGCTTTATGTATATAAGATCACTTACCATTGGGCTGGGGTTGTGCTTCAGTAGTAGAGCATTCACCTAGCATGGTGAGGCACCAGGTTCGATCCTCAGCACTGCCTAAAAAGAAATCAACAAAATAAAGGTATTGTGTCCATCTACAACTTAAAAAAAAAAAAATTAAAAAAACGATCACTTATCATTAACAATCCTGTAGATAATATTACCTTCCCCAATTTTGGTACTGAGGATTGAACCCAGGAGCACTCTACCACTAAGCCACACCCCAAGCCCTTTTAACTTTAAGTTTTATTTTGAGACAGGGTCTTGCTAAATTGCCCATACTGTCTGTGGACTTGCAATCGTCCTGCCTTTGCCTCCCAAATTGCTGGGATGGCAGGTGTGTGCCACTGTATCTGGCCTTATCATCTCTATTGAATGCTGAAAAACTTAGATTTAAAGAATGCTGGTAATGTCCAGTATTATCCAGTTAGGAAGTAGTGAACGAGGACTTGAATGCAATTGCGTTTGTCTCTGAAACCAGATCTATTACAGCTGTTGTTAGAGGTTGAGTATTCCTTATCTAAATATCTGGAGCCAGAAGTATTTCAGATTTCAGAATTGTGGGGGGCTGGGTTCAGCCATATGCTCACAAAGTTTTGGATTTCAGGTTTTTGGATTAGGAATGCTCAACATGTATTCTCAACGTAACCAGAAGTCAGTTTAGACACGTCCTTGTGAAACAATGATCACTAGTCACATGTGTCACTACTGACCACTTCATATGAAACTAGGACTAAAGAACCGTATTTTAAAATTTCTTTTTTTTTTTTAACATTTATTTATTTTTTTTAGTTTTCGGCGGACACATCATCTTTGTTTGTATGTGGTGCTGAGGATCGAACCCGGGCCGCACGCATGCCAGACAAGTGTGCTACCGCTTGAGCCATATCCCCAGCCCCTAAAATTTCATTTAATTTTAATAAAAATAACAATCATGAGTAAGTCAAGCACAGAATATTAACCCACGTACTGACTTACGTGGTATTCAAATGATGACAAATAATGAAGTTTGCATAGTTCATTATCTAAGAACCAAATTCAACCTCACAAAAATTATCCAAAGCTTGTTCTATAAGACAGAAACTCTGAAATGACACTGGATTACAAAGACCACCTACCCAGATTCCTAGTATAAACTGTACCAACCACCACAAGTCTCGACCTGGAGATCCTTAGGCTAAACAGGCCCAAATATGTGTAGTCTGATGGCACTCCAAAGAATAGTTGACCTTTTAAAAATTGAGATTAATATATAAGCAAACACACATTCAGTGGGTGAACTTTGACCACTGCATACATTTGAGTAATCAAAAGCCTACAAGATACAGAACATGTTCATCTCCCTAGAAGACCCTCTTGCACCTTCCAGTCCATTCTCACACATCATCTCCTGTGCTCTCAGTTTCTGCATGCTGCATACATCCTGTATATGTACAGTAGGTGCTGTGCTCATCTATCTCAAATGTACATCCTGACATTTCTCTATTGTTTAAAGAAACATTTTGGGAGAAAATATTAAAATCTCCCACTGGAATGATGTTCATGTCTATTTCTGATGTCTGCAAAGAACTTTGATATATCTTGTAACAAAATTATTTGGTGGATACACATTGAACTTTAATATTTTTGAGGGAAAAAAAATCTGGCATCATAATGAACTCTATTTCTCTAAGAATGTTACTGGATGATGTCATGTGACATAGCGATCACCTTTCCTTTGGAGAGTTTTTGCATCTCATAGTACAGCACTGTATCCCCTTTGGACACCAATGTCCCCCTTGACCTGGCATAGCACCTAAGTCATGCAAGGCATCCAATAACTGTTGGACAAACAACTGAGATCCTTCTCAACACTGCTAAAGTATACCTAGATTATAAGGGCAGCAGGTGTAGCTCAAAGGTAGAGAACTGGCTTAGCACATGAGAGGCCCTGGGTTCTATCCTCTAGATTATAGCTAAATAACTGTCAATGACAATGTAAATCTCAGTTTTCAGGAAATGTATTAAATTACTCGAAAGTGCAAGGGTAGAAAGTGCGAATGGTAGGAACACAGACATTGTGTCCTGTGCCCTCACGTATCAGTCCCAGCTCATCTAACATTCCCATGACCTCCTGAAGTGCCCTTGCACCCTGATTCCCTTGGTTGGTCTGCGAGTCCAACAGCCAGGGCTTGTGTGCATCACAGAGGGCTGCTGCCTACCTTGGCCCAGGCAACCCACCAAACTTCACCTGCCAGTGGGCTGCAATGACACCATTTCCAGCATTGTGGAAAAGGCTCCTTACCAGTATGGCCATCTTTAGAAACTCGAGGATATATGTTATTAGAGTTCATTTTATATTTCCTAATAAATCAAGGTGACATTTTTTGTCTCCTCACAGGACCCTCCTCCTACAGAACTGATACAGTGTTGCCAAAGATGGACATCCAATGATCAGAATTTGGAAGTGGTCAGTCAAGCATTTGGGCCTGACCATATAGCTGGTTTCTTCTTTTCTTCATTTCTCTTCCCTCTCTCCCTTACTCTCCCTCTGTGTCTGTCTGTCTCTCTTTCTTTCTGGTACTAGGGATTTAACCCAGGGGTGCTTTGTACTTTACCACTGAGCTGTATTCCCTGCCATTTTTTAGTTTTTGAGGCAGGATCTCACTAAGTGGCTTAGTGCCTCTCTATATTCCTGAGGTTGGCCTTGGACTTTAAATCCTCCTGCCTCAGCCTCCCAAGTCACTGGGATTACAGATGTGCACCACCATATCTGGTTAGGACTGGGTTTCTTCTTCCTTTTTTTCATCATAGATGGATTCAATACCTTTACTTTATTTATTTATTTTTATGTGGTACTGAGGATCAAACCCAGTGCCTCACACATGCTAGGCAAGGGCTCTACCACTGAGCTTCAACCCCAGCCCTAGAGCTGGTTTCTTAAAACAGAAAAAGCATTTGGCAGAGCCAGGCATGGTGGCACATGCCTATAATCCCAGCAGCTTGGGAGGCTGAAACAGGAGGATTACAAGTTTAAAGACAGCCTCAACAAAAGCGAGGCACTAAGCAACTCAGTGAAACCCTTCTCTAAATAAGTTACAAAATTTAAAAAATAAATAAGTTACAAAACAGGGCCAGGGATGTGGCTCAGTGGTTGAGTGTCCCTGAGTTTAATCCCCAGTACCGCCCAAAAAAGCATTTGGCAGGATCATATCAACCAAGGTACTGTCTGTGGTAGACTGTGATAAAGAACTTGCCTTAGAAATCCAAGTAAATAGCCAGGTGCAGTGGTGCATGCCTGTAATCCCAACAACTCAGGAGGCTGAGGCAAAAAGATGGCAAGTTTAAAGCCTGTCTCAGCAACTTAGAGAGCCCCTGTCTCAAATTAAAAAAAAAATTAAAAAGGGCTTGGGATGTGGCTCAGTGGTTAAACACCCCTGATACTAAAAACAAACAAACAAACAAACAAAGCCAGGCAGAATGGCTCAGGCCTATAATCCCATGGCTCTGGAGGCTGAGATAGGAGGATCGCAAGTTGAGGCCAGCCTCAGCAACTTAGTGAGGCTCTAAGCAACTTAGTGAGACCCTGTCTCAAGATAAAAAAGTTTAAAAGTAAAAAAGGCTGGAGATATGACTCAGTGAAAAAGCACCTCTAGGTTTAATCCCCAATATCAAGAGGAAAAAAAAAAGAAGTTCTCCAAGTAAATGCTATCCTTAACCATTACAGAACTAACTACATAATTACAAGATTTTGTGGTAAGAGATGGATTCTTCTGAGCAGACTTGTGAGAATATAACAAGCTCAGATCTTCTGACTTGCAGTTCAATTTAAGGTCTGACAATCAAACAGCTTCCAAGACAGCTATTAAAGCTAATTTTCAGTTGCTACAAGACTGTTTATAATCATTGAAAATCAAACACAAAATTTAATTGAACAGGTTAAATTACATCCAGAGTCAATTCAGTGTCACCTAGTTTTTCAAGTGAAAATCAGAGTATGAATTACTGTTCTGTAAGTGGGGGTGGGGGAGTAAGTCTTCTTTGGGGCCTTTTGTTTGCTAACCTGTGTACTTGAATAATTTATCTAAGTAAAAGTCTCAATGCTGATAGCCAAAAACCTGATTTGAGTCACAGTGAAAAGTCACAGCCTTTCACCCAATTTCTACACTCAGGTCACTCGCAAACCTAGAACACCTTCATGAAAAGAAATAATAATCAGAACTATCCACATGAAAAAGCTTCCCTCACGCCTCCCCCAACGGGACCTGCAGCCATTTACTACAGTAACTATGCATTAAGGAAAAAGAAATACCCTACTGGTCTTGAGGGCAGGAGGGGGGGCTCTGTCCCTCTTCTCTCAGAGATGACCCCCTCACCCTCAAGTGTCCCTTTCTCCCCTTTTCTATCCCTTCTAATAAACTCATGCCTGTCTATAACAATGAGCAACATGTTTGATATTTTTCTGGCATGAATGCAAAAGAATCCGGATGAAGAGATGGTCTGCAAGCTGACCCAGGTTGGCAGAAGGCCCATGCTCTGTAACACTATCGCTGCCCAAAGGAAATAGTGTCAGAGAGAAGCTGACCATACTCACGACTTGCTCAAGCTGACTGACCTACTGGGGAGAAGTGGAAACCACTTTTAAGGCAGGGTTAGCAAAGTAGGATGGGGAGACTAGCAAGCTGATTACCCCCGGAGTCAGTGGGCAACACCTAGACAGTCACTAGACTTTCCCAACCTCACAGAGAATATGATGTCACCTCGCTTGTCATCTCTATTGTCATTTGCATCAGTTGCTTCACACCCCCAACCCCAAAGAGGTCAGCTGGGACACACTAGAGAGGGAGCTGCCTAAAAATGGGGCAACAGAAACCACAAAGGGAAGCAATGCACAATATAAGGGCCATGTGGGGCTACCAAAAGTTTGTCACTTAACACCTAAGGAGAGAGGAAAAAGTATTTATCCATCCTAAAGATAAAAACCATTTAAAAGGTTTTTCTTAAAAAGAGAAAGGGGTAGAGGTATAGAGACTGATTATCTTAAAGTCTGGACAACCCAGAGACAATTGCCTAGAGGGCAGGGTCCCTTACCCTTTCCTCTTATCAGCCAGAGACAGAAACCAAGAACCACCACTTCTGGAAGCTCAAAGAAAAAAGGAAAAAAAAAAGTGGGATGGAGAGAGTGAAGCCTTGGATTTTAGGCAGCGACAACTTCAAGAGGGGAAAAAAAGAAGAGGAACTTAAGTACTGAGCAAAAGCCAGTGCTATGTAGGCCTCTAGCTCTTAGATTACTGATTTAAAAAGAAAGCCAGGAGGGGGAAACAAAGGGGGGCAGAATTATATTTGAACTGGTAAGTTGCCTGGGCTGACCTCAGATCTAAGATCCTCCCAAGTCACTGAGATTACAGGTGAGCACGACTGTGCCCGACTCCTTTGGCCAATATTAAAATTTATTGACTTTATTCAGTCAATACACAGTAAATATTAGGCCTAACAGCTGTAAGTTGCCCCCACCTCCAAAAGGACACGATACATGATTTGAGGACTACACAAAGGCACCATCTTTGCAAACAAGATCTTAATGTCATCTCCTTCAGCAGGAACACTGTGTGACATTGCTGATAACATCGTTCTCCAAGGAGACTCTGAGTGCATCACTCAGGAAGGACACAGAACTCCTGTATCTTCTAGTACTTTTTGAATTCTTGTGGCAACATAATCATTTAGAAATTTGGCATCCAAACTAAAATCAACAGACATTCCTGTTGGTACCTTCAAGAAAAAACTCCTTCAGGACAGAAGTTCTGACCACCTTTTTAAATGCATCCTGGAGTTCTGAACCATGTGAGGTGGCTATTACTTCCTCCAGGGCTTCTAATTCGAGAAACTGTCCCTATTGACCACCAGCTACTCACCAAGTAACAACATAAAACTAGCCACCTAGTAGGCTCTCCTGGAAATGAGCCCGTAACCCTCCCTCCACACCCAGCTCCCCATTACACTCTGGGTCACAGAAACCACAACCCATAAGCTTGGCACTGCTTCAGAGGCCACCTCACAACAGGAAGGAGACAAATATAGACCCTTTGATATATTTTACCAGCCACCAGGGTGGCTTCCTCAGTCTTTTGCCAGATGCCAGAATACTAAAGGAAGTCACTCCTCACCCAGATGCACTGACTACAGAGAAAGCCCCTTGGGAATAACTGAACAATAATGCGAGTGTGTAGACTATGAAAAGGGCACTGCTAACCATCATATGTGAAGAAGCTTACTCTCCATCCATTAACCAGGTTGGTCTAATAAAGGATGGGACCCAGGAAACAACAGAAGCCTTAGGCAATCCAGAGGTCCCATGTGTGGGTTTACTGTCAACTACTGGACCATCATCTGAAAACCATTCCTTTCAAATTGTTCACTGAGGTGAAAATTCAACCTAGTGGAGGAAAAAAAGAATTTATTTGGTGGTAAAGGGTTGAATCAGGGAGATACCAAATTCAAGCGGTCTTGAAAATGTACTTCTAGGTTTGAGATGTAGTGGATGCATTTAATAGTTTAAACTTAAGGAGGTTGTTAATTACACGCTCATGCAGCAAGAATCAAACTGTCTTGTAAGAAAGGAGTTGGGCACTCTCAGGAAATCAAAGGGGGTGTTTCACAAACTGTTAGGAAGGCCAGTGTATTTCCTTCCAAAGTTGCAGTTCAGCCAAGTCCAGCATGTATTCAGATGGGTATGGGCAGGAAGTAGAGTTCAAAAGGTCAGCTGTGGATGTGCCTAATTCCTGGTTTGACATGGCCTCTTAACTCCATTTTAAGTGCCCTAACCAATAAATATTGCTCCACTTTTTCTGACGATGGTTTCATAAATAAATTCTTAAAAAATCCTCTAGGGAATCTCCTACAGATACCCAAAATATAAAACAAAACCGAACCTCTTCACATACATTAGAACCATAATAAAACACGTCTTTTTCCCTTAAAAGTTAGATGTTTCAAGTCAAAAACCCTGTATCCAAAATGCTTGGGACCAGAAGGGTTTCAAATTTCAAAATTTTCAGATTTTGGAACATTTATTTGATTGATTGATGTATTTATTCACATATGTGTATCTGTGTATTAATTTGTGTGTAGTTATTCATACAAACATACACGCACACTGGGAACTAAACTCAGGAGCACTTTACCACGGAGCAACATCCCCAGTCCCTTTTATTTTTTGAGACGGTTTGGCTGAGTTGCTGGGCCAGGCGCAGGGGAACACTCCTGTAATCCTCCCAGCGACTTGGGATGCTAAGACAGAAGGATCCCAATTCAAGGTCAGCCTCAGCAATTTAGCGAGGCCCTGTCTCAGTAAAACAATGGGAAGGAGTGGGAGGTAGCGGAGTCACGAGTGCCCCAGGTTCGACCCCAGGACCACACGGAAAACAAGATACACTAGTGGCCAACACCAGAGTCAAATAAATAAGTTCTTCCCTTGGGCGTGTTTCCTTCAAACTGACCGCCCAAGCCCCCTCCGGGAAACCTGCGGGTAATACCAGAGCCTCAGCAAAGGTGTGGTCCCTTGGGCACCCTCTCCAGCGACCCCCGCCGCGCAGGCCGCGCGCGTCCGCGAGCAGACACGTGCACGCCCCACTCTCCACCTTCCCCCACTGCCCCTAACGGGTGTGCCCGAGGGCCCGCCGCTCAGGGGAAACGCCGGCTCGCACTGCAGGAGGACGCCAACTTTCGCACGGGGCTCAATGCTCGCGGCGGCCCCGAGACCACCTCACGTCACCGCGCGCAACTCCTCTCCTCCGGGGTAAGCCACAGGGACCGCGGGGGAGGCGTGGGAAGAAAAGCGGGCGCCGTTTCGAACGCGGCCAGAGGAAGCGCCTCGCCGCACGCCGCGCACCGGCTCCGGGCCGCACGGTCGCCGCTTCCCGAGGCCCGTGCGGCCCTCGCACTTACACTACTCCGTCCAGCTTCCCTCCGCCCGCCTCCCCAGAGCCACGAGAGCAACCACGACTACGCGAAAGAATGAACTGGGTCGCGCAGAGCCTACGCCGGAAGAGACCGCCGCAAGTGACGTCACTTCCGTTCCGCCCCTCTGCCGGAGGGAGTCTGTGTGTGAGCATAGAAAAGACTGATGAAAATTGTATACTATGTAAGGAAAAAAAGATATTAAGAATTAAAAGTAGAAAGGTCTTAAGGTAATGAAGCACATAAATTCCAGACTTTAAGAATAAAAATAATGAGAAAAAAAATCCATTAATAAAAAGGGGTGGGAGTACTGGGGAGTGATACTGGCCAAGGTATACTATTATATTGTGTGCATGTACACATATGTAACAACAAATTCCATCATTATGCACAACTATAATGAAACAATAAAAATGTTGGGGAAAAAAGAAAAGGAGGCTGGGGTTGTGACTCAGTGGCAGAGCGCTTGCTTCTCACATGTGAGGCACTGAGTTCGATCCTCAGCACCACATAAAAATAAAGATATTGTGTCCATCTACAACTAAAAAAAAAAAATTTAAAGAAAACAAGGGATATCAATTACTTTTTTAAAGGGGGAAAAATTAAAATCATTAAGATGACTGTTGTAGGCCAGGGATGTACTTCAGTGGTATACATTTGACGACCATGCCCAAGGCCCTAGGTTCAATCCCCAGCACAACCACAAAAAAAAAAAAAAAAAAAAAAAATTGTATTAAATCAAACTCATCAGTAATTATATGACATACAAATAGATAATATGCATTATTACCTATTAAAAAAGCACTGTTAGTGTGGGTCTTGTAGCTCAAGATCAAGGCAATGTAAGATTGAGTTGAATTCTGATCCTAATGAAGGACAACAGTGATAAAATGATAAGATCTAACATATAATATCCCCTGTGCACTTGAACAGAATGTGTATTGTTACTTTTGGATGTAATGTTCTGTAAAGTTCAATTAAATCCATTTAATATACAGTCAAGTTCAGGTCCAATATTTTCTTATTGACTTTCACTTCAGATAGTCTATCCATTGTTGAATAGTGGGGTATTTAAGACACTACTATTGCGTGGCTACCTATTTCTCAACTTCTGTTTCTTGCTTTCTATACTGTTTTTTTTTTTGTTTGTTTGTTTGTTTTTTGTTTTTTTGTACCAGGGATTGAACTCAGGGGCACTGTCCATAAGCCACACCCCCAGCCCTTTCTTATATTTGATTTAGAGACAGAGTCTCATTGAGTTGCTTAGTTCCTCACTTTTGCTGAGGCTCGTTTTCAACTTGCAATCCTCCTGCCTCAGCCTCCTGAGCCGCTGGGATTCTACTGCACCCAGCTCTATACTTCCTTTAGCTGTTAAATACATATACACCTAACAATTTCTTATGTTTTAGATCTGGAATGTCCCCAAATTCTCATGTTGAACACCACCCCAGCTACTGCTGTTACTGAGAGATGGTAGAAACTTGAGCAGGTGGGGCCCAGCTGGAAGAAGTAGGTAACAGGGTGTGTCCTTCAAGGTTCAATATCTTGTCCCTGACCCTTCATTTCTCTCTCTCTCTCTCTCTCTCTCTACTTTCCAGGTGTCATGAGATGTGCAACTCTGCCCTCCACATGGCTCCTGCTATGATGTTCTGTCTCACCACAGACCCACAGCAATAGGGACAACTGACCATAGACTGAAAAGTCCGAAACTATAGGCCAAAATAAAACTTTCCTCCTTTAAGTAAATTTTCTCAAGTTTTTTATCACAGTGACCAAAAGCTGACTCACAACTGTTATATCCTCTTAACGAAATAGCCATTTCACCATCTATAATCTCCTTTTTTCTCATTACAGTTTTTAGGATAGTCTATTTTGACTGACACAAATACAGATACCCCATTCTCTTTTTGTTTCCATTTGCAAGGAATGTCTTTTCCCATCCCTGTACTTTCCATCTACTTATATCCTTAAAGGTAAAAGGAGTCTCTTGTAGGCACCATACAGATGTGTCTTAGATTTTGATGCAATCAGTCCCTATATCCTTTGTGGGCGAATTTAGTCCATTTACATTGAGGGGAGGATACTAGGGATTGAACCCAGGGGCACTTTACTACTAAGTTACATTGATAGTCCTTTTTAGTTTTTGAGACAGGGTCTCACTAAGTTGCTGAGGATGACTTGAGATCCTTCCATCTCAGCTTCCTAAATCACTGGGAAGAGGCACACACCACCATGCCTGGCAGTCCATTCACATTCGAAGCAGTTTTTAAAAGTATCATGCTATGGCCAACAGGGATTTATGCCTGTAATGAAAGGGTAATTCAACATATGCAAAAATGAATAAATGTCACACTTCACATAACAAAATGAAAGGAAAAAAACATCAATGCAAACAAAAAAAAAACATTTAACAAAATTCAACATCTTTCATGTTACCAGTTACCAACAAATTGGGTATAGAATAAATGTACCTATCATAATGACTATATATAACAAGCAATGGCTACCATCATAACTAAATGACAAAAAGCTCAAAGCTTTCTTTTAAGATCAAGAACAAGAGTATCCATGCTTGCAACTTCTATTTGCCATAATGCTACAAGTTCTAGCCACAGCAACTAAACAAGAAGAAATAAAATGCATTCAAGTAGGAAAGAAGGAAAATTTCAAATGACATGATCTTGAATACATAAAATCCTAATAACCTATTTAAAAACTGTTAGAAATAATAAACAAATTCGGGAAAGTGACAGGATACAAAATCAATACAGAAAGTCAGCAGTGGTTACTATACAATTAACAATCTGAAAAATTAAGAAAACAACTTCACTGACAATAACATCAAAAATAGTAAAATACTAATACACTTAACTAGGAAGATGGAAGGTTCATAAATTGAAACCAACATAACACTGATGAAGGAAATTAAAGATACAAGTAAACAGATGTTCATGTACTGGAGTTGTTAATATTGTGGAAATACCCATTACTGCCAAAAGTGATCTAGGCATTTAATGCCATCCTCTTCAAGATACCAATGGCATTTGTCACAAAAATATTTTAAAATTCCTAAAATTCATTCCAAACCACAAGAGGCTCCAAAAGGCCAAAATAAATAAACAAACAAATAAATAAAATCTTGAACAACAACTGGAAGCATCACACTTTTCAAAGTGTGATGAGGCTGAGTCAGGAAGATTGCAAGTTTGAGCCCAGCCTCAGAATCTTAATGAGACCTGCCTCACAGTTAATAAAAATCCAGGAACAGCCCAATGATAGAGCACCACTCAGTTCAATTCCTAGTACTGGGGAGTGGGAGGTTGGGAAACAAACAGTATGATATTGGCATAAAAGAAACCCATGATCACATGGACAACTAATGTTGACAAACATCCCAAGAATATAAGATGCAGATGATACTTTGTTCAAAAAAAATGGTAATGAGAAAACTAGATATCCACATGCAAAAGAATTCAGTTGGACCACCTCATACCACACTCAAAAACCTGCCGGAAGCCATCCATGACCCATCTGTGAACTGTGCATGAACTAAAACAACGTTGAAGCCATTAGGTAAGAAAGCCTGGTACCAGGAACTCCCAGCAGCAACCCTGCTGGTTTGAGAAGACCTGGTTCATGTGACTTCCTTCCCAGCTCCATTATAAGTTCAGCAGAGCATTAGAGATGGGGTGACCCACTGGAGTCACACAGCCTCTCGGAAATAGGTGTGGCTGCCATAATGCCAATCGACCTGTTTGTGGCAAAACCCCTGCCACACCCAGAAGCAAGACTCTTCCCAATGAGACCTTATCCCTGCCTTTAATGTATGCCCTCTTAAATAAAGAATCTGGGCCACTTTTCAGTTGTTCAGTTCCAGCTCCTATCAGGACTGGAAGTCCTATTAGGCGCTCTGTTTTACCTAATTTCTGGCTCTGTCTCTATTAACTTACTAATTATTTCAGACTTTTTATTTTCTCAGGTGGCTCACACCTCCTGAGCAGAAACCTACCCTGGTGGGGTGCTGGTCATCCCAAATTAAAAACCCATTTAAAATCGATTAGTCATAAACCTGAAGACATGACATCATAATACTCCTAGAAGAAAACAGCGGGAAAAGCATCATAACACTGGTCTTGGCAATTTTTTGGAGTTCACATCAAAAGCAGAGTCTACAAAATGTAAAAATAAACAAGCAAGCTACATCAAACAAAAGTTTTCTTCACAGCAAAGGAAACAACAAATTAAAAAGGCAACCCTATAATTGGAGAAAATATTTGTAAACCACATATGCAATTATAAGCTAACAATACTATATATTCATAAGGAAATAAATGTACATTAAATGTAATAGCAAAAGAAAAATCCAATTTTAAAATGGGTAAAGGGCCTGACTATACAATTTTCCAAAGAAGATATAGAAATGGCCAACAGATACATAAGGATGCTCAAAATCACTGGACATCTAGGAAATGAACATTGAAACCACAAAGAAATATCACCTCATGGCTCTTGTAAAAAATCAAGATAGTATTAGAAGGAAACCACAACACTTTTTTTTTTTTTTAACACCAGGGATTGAACCCAGGGACATTTAACCACTGAGCCATATTCCCAGCCCTTTTCATTTTTTACTTCGAGTCAGGGTCTTGCTAAATTGCTTATGTCCTCACTAAGTTGCTGAGGCTGGCTTTAAACTTGCAATCCTCCTGCCTCAACCACCCGAATCACTGAGATTACACACAAAACTCTTGTACACAGCTGAATGGAACAAAACTTGGTAGCCATCTGGAGAACAACACTATGGAGTTTCCTCTTAAAATTAAAAATAGGACATCCAAATGATCCCACAATCCCATTATGGATATATATATCCAAGGAAATTAGTGCCTAATGTTAAATGCAACAATACTGATAATAGCCAAGGTATTGAAACAACCTAAGTGTTCCTTGATGGATGAAGGGATAAAGAAATTGTATGTTGTTTTGTGGGGGGGGGGGCGAGGAAGGAGGGAATATTTACCCTTAAAAAGAGAAGAAAATTCTGCCATTTAGGGCAACAGGGGTGAATCTGGAGGACATTATGCTATGTGAAATAAGTCAGATAAAAAAACA